TGTTAAAACTATTATTTTCTGCATCGCTCATGAGAGTACCAGCTGGAGAAATTACAGCCTCGCCTACTGATTTACAAATGTGTTCTACTAAAATTATATGTATAAATGACTATTATCATTATTATAAGCAAGACAATAAATGGCAAAGATATGTAGAAAATAAACGTATTTAAGATACCTTCATAACTAACGTAAGGTGGGAGAAAATAAGTTTCTAGCTAAACGTAATTGAGAATGCAGTTTAGTTCTGGGGGAACGTAATTTTTAGGAGACAGGGTTGGACTTTTTTTGAATCAATTTATGTTTCATCCAATCACAAAGCTTGATGACTTATCACGAGGTTTGTCAAAGCGGACAGGCGTTGTCACAACAATAGCTGGGGATTGTGGGTAGTGTAGTCTCTTTGGCGCTCCACATTTCAGAGAAAACAAGTTGTTTCTCAGAATTGAAGGGGAAAAACACAAATACATTGTACACAATTTAAACCTATCAATGTTGTTTAATTAACAAAGGTAATCTGGTGTTTTTGAGTTGATGAGTAGTGGAGATATCACTGTCAAATCAATCGACAGTAAGGAGAATACTTACTTCCGGGTGTACAATTCTCCGTTATCCAATTGGAATGGACGCTCACATTGCCTTTAAGAGCTGCCAACATAAATGTGCATAAATGTGCTTCCCTAAGCGTCAAATACCGCCGCCGATGGGAATACATTGCAATCAGTTGAAAGCTCTTTGAGTCCGTTTATGAAGCTGAAGGAGCCTCAGCGCGTCCCAACTGCACACCACGGGACCCTGACCAAGCGTCGCTCCTGGACGTTTAGGGAGTGAGAGTGTGTTGACGGGACATGCACGTTGCAAAGCTGAGCTGAGTTATTGACAGATTCGAATTTCAAGGATCAATAACTCATGAACATAACGTTGTAAAAATACAAACAACACTTTACAATCATAGCAAGGTAGACAACGAGCTACAGAATCATTTTTATCAGAACAGTTCGATACGCGCGTCATCCGAGCTAAACATCAAGAATTGGTCACAATCTGCAGCTGGAGGAGTGAGGAGGGCTTAGGGCAGTCTGCAAACTGCAACGCCGAAAACATATACTCATAGGAAAATTCAATAACTTCATTTTTTTAAGATAGTCCTACCAAAATCTCTTAACACGGTTATGTTGTTGTTACTTTATAACACTTATTTTGAATACATATGCTTTTAAATATTTTTCAGGCTTTTTTATTTCAATCTATTTTAAATTACTTAGACATTTTACAATGTAGTGCAACCAATCCCCTTTCACACATCAAATTGCTGCTCATACTACATAAGGGTTGTCCAAACTAAGGCCCGGGGGCCAAATTGGACTTCTTGAATATATATATACAGTACGTGTTGATAAGCCCACATTTTCTAACAAATCAAACAAAGAAAACAACAAGTTACAAAATTATTTTAAAACATATTTATTCAAAATAAG